TCTAAAGCAAACATTAATTTAGAGCAACTTCAGACGTTTCTGATCCATCCAAGATGAATTTTGAAACAGGATTGCCTTTGAGTACGATCTTAAATCAACTTTTTCCTATTTTATGCAGAGTGGGATGCACAGTGGATCCATATTGCAAAGGACTGAGATTCAATATTAATAGGACGGGTTTCTACAAGTCCGCCGCCTCATCTATGCATGTGTGTCCCCCGCTCTAAAGTCTATCTTAAAGATCGATTTTAGATCCAAATTTTTAGAGATTCATGATCTAGGCAATGTTGATCTTGAATATGAAAAAGAAGAAAAGTTTAAAATTCAAAGTACATTTTTAATACTTATACATCCTCGATTTCATATTTTAGTTGCAAGTCCTTGGCTAAACGTCTGCCTGAGTCACAAAAAAAACTTTTCCATACTAATAAATCATTCCTGTCTTCGAAAAAGTATGCAATAACAACATGTTGCAATCACCTTTTGACAAACAAAAAAAAAAACAAACCTGTTGCAATCGCATGAAGGGACGTTGCAAGAAATCAAAATTAATGCCAAAAAGACAAATAAGAGAAAATAAAGTCTAGAGTCTCTAGACCGTAAAAATCGTGGTTGGATAATTGTTAGTTTTGGTCATATATATTTATTTATTCATTTAAGGGAGTGGGTATGCGGTTGAGTGTTGGTAACATCTACGCACCCTAGCCATTACTTTGTGGTTTTTATTCCTCTTACCTTATTAATACCACCTTACTAATACCTTTTAAAAAAAAGTAAATTTTTAATCTATTTATCCAAAAAACCCATTGAATTATCCAAAAAAAATCTATTAATACTTAGCATCTGTGAGAAAAAAAGCTTAACTCCTAATCTACTTAAAAACTCTCATTGAATTACCCGAAAAAAAGCTTAACTCCTAATCTACTTGAAAATTCCCAAAACAAATCTATTAATATTTAGCATCTATGAGAAAAAAAGCTCAACTCCTAATCTACTTGAAAATTCTCATTAAATTACCCAAAAAAAAACTTAACTCCTAATCTACTTGAAAATTCCTACTGAATTACCCAAAAAAAATCTACTGAGAAAAAAAATAATCTACTTGAAAATTCCCACTGAATTACCCAAAAAAAATCTACTAATATTTAGCATATTCCCACTGAATTACCCAAAAAAAATCTACTAATATTTAGCATATGTGAGAAAAAAAAGCTTAACCCCTAATCTACTAAGAAAAAAAAGCTTAATCCCTAATCTACTAACTCCTAATCTACTTGAGCTTAACTCCTAATCTAGTAGCTCCTAATCTACTTTCCTAATCTACTTGAAAAAAAAAGGGTTGCCCCCCCCCCCATAGAATTACCCAAACTCCTAATCTACTTGAATTCCCACTTAATTATCCAAAAAAAAATCTACTAAGAAAAAAAAGCTTAACTCCTAATCTACTTGAAAATTCGCACTGAATTACCCAAAACAAATCTACTAATATTTAGCATCTGTAAGAAAAAAAAGCTTAACTCCTAATCTACTTGAAAACAAAGGGTTGGGCCTCCCCCACTGAATTGCCCAAAAAAAATCTATTAATATTTACCATCTATGAGAAAAAAAAGCTTGATTTACCCAAAAAAAATCGACTAATATTTACCATCTGTGAGAAAAAAAAGCTTAACTCCTAATCTACTAACTCCTAGTCTACTTGAAAAAAAAAGCATATGTGAGAAAAAAAAAGCTTAACTCCTAATCTAATCT